AAGAGGAAACACTATGGTGGTCGATGCCCGCAGCTGATAACCGAAAAGGAACTAGTCTTCATGGTGGAGGTGACGATGATGGGTGAGTCGTGGGAAAACTCTCCGCCGTGTGCACTTATATCGCACCTCATCATGAGATACCCCGTTTTTAAAATGCGATGGAGTGATGTATTCATCACGCTTGGATATTGAATGGACCTTGGCGGTCGGAGTTGGCGAGATTTGTATTCGGCGGCGGAATCTCCTTGAAGATTCACGGAGCCGCGCCTCTCTCGCTACGTCCTGTCTTGCTCGAATAAGACTCGTTACGGTTAGTAAAATAGATTCCAAGCATGAAGATGAGAGCTCATATTTTGCACTGCTTTGTAACTGAGATGCAATTCGCACCGAAACGGTTGAAGAACCCTGTTCGGAACTTTGAAGGTCTGTTCAGGATATTAGCTCTGGCCAGCACCAAATTCGGTATTGCATTGTGCGCAGTGTTGGTTGTTCTGGCATGCGGTCTCACTGCTGCTCGTCTGCGTCTATGGAAGGATACTTCTGCTCATGAGGAAGAAGACGATGGAGAGGGAGGTGAAGAAGACATCACTGTTGTTGTTATTGAGGAGGATAATGAGGAAATCAAAAGTATCAAAGACCCTGATGATGTAACATACGCTTCACAACAGTAACGATTTACAACATACTCCTCGCAACAGTATAATACTTCATAACGGCTGCGTTATTGCTGCCACTCACTGCTTTGGGTCCAGTCGGTCCGTCGGACCGGTGGGACTGCCCCACCACCCTATTGCATAGTATAGCTTCACCGGAAAGGTGTGGTGGGCAGGTTCCAATGATTGTGATACAAGGGACTCCCACATCACAACCTGCCAATCCTTCGGCAGAATCGTCCAATGTAAAACACTCCACGACTAAATTAGAAAAGGGTGAGGGCATTCCCCCTTCCGAGAGATGTTCCAGGCCTGCAATCTTCAGCGACCAAACAGCGAGGATGGAGCAAGAGCAGTATAATCTTCCGTTTGTCTCGGAAGCGAGATAATCAACCATCACTAGAGCTGAACTCATCATGACGTATATATACTGTGGAAGGTAGATACCATTCCGCTTCAAACATATATGAGCTGTAAGCCCGCCGCATATGCATGCAAATGCAGCCCTACCAAAGTTTCCCTAAAGGATACCAGCTTGAGCGGGGGATCACTCGAGAGGATAGCAGACGAGCTCATGGCCTTTCATACCAGTAGCAACTTCGCCAAGCCCTGGGCAGAAGCTTTTCATAGAGAGACCGAGGAGCTGAGAATAGCACAACAAAGAATAGTCACGATCGAAGTGAATATGCAAGGCAACGGGCCATTCACGGTCACTCCTTCAGAATGAAATGCGGGGCCCTGTCACTAGAGCTAGTCATCGCTCGCTGACGCGTGCTTGCTTGACGCTGGACAGGGCTAAGAAGAAACTCGAAGAGCGTACATCGAATGCGAGGGGGTTCGGCAATAGAGAGAGTGCATTCTGCAGTGTCTCACTCAATTGCGTCTGTAGATTCGTCTCAAAGCTCCCCTTCCCATTGAAGCGTCTTCCCCTCAATCCCGTATGGCTGCACACGGTCAGTCGATTCGGGATGGTATGCTGGTGAAGATGACAAGCGAGCTTGAAGCATTGCGTGACGAACTATTCGAGGAACTCCAAGAGTGCATCATACGGGATAAAACCAGACGGTGCTCGCGATGCGCTCACAATGATGAGGACTATGCCTCGAGGAGTTCTCACGGGGGAGCAATGCCGCCTTGGAAGGGATATCTAGATATAGATTCGAGTGAAGAAGAATTTGATATAGATAAGCGACAGGCCCCATCGTTGTTGGGAGGAATCTCGTGCACTGAGGAGGTCACGGCTCTAAATTTTAGAGCCAGGTTGTAAACCATTGTGATTCTTTTAGAGTCTAAAAGAATCACGATGGATGGCGGACCTGAGAATGCGCAATTGCCTCGGAGTACAGGATCGACGAAGACCTTCTCGACAGCAACTCAGTCAGCAGTCATGAGATCAGATAGAGAGCATCAAGTTACCGAGAGAGTAGATATGGTAAGGTCGTTGGCCTGTGTCACAACGTGCTGAACTTCGGTTACTGAGGCTAATGTGTCACCGAGAATATACACATCTATGAATAGAATTGAGCTCTGTGTGGGAACATAATAGAAAGTTCATTCATCCGTTGATTCCGTGTCACATGTTGTTTCTATGTTGTAGTCCCATCGTCATTTCCACTGCGTCCTCGGGGTTCAGAAGACTTCCGTCAATCTACTGATTCCTTCTTGCATAAGGGGCGGGAGTCTCTGATCAGCAGTGATGAATTATGTATCGTTGTATCCACCAGAGCCTTGAGTTAGGCCTGTCAATATTCGGGATGTACAAAAGGCTTCAGGCATTGATAGCGTTTATCGGATAAACTTTATCCGTTACCTAGTCAATGCCGGCGATCGCCAAGGCTGCAATGCAAAATGAGAAAGTACCTGTCCACTCCGTGAATCGATTCTATGATCCACACACGATTTGAGAACTCGAAGTTAGAATCCAATTATAGAGACTTATCCAGTTATTGGGTATGCTGATCATCTGCCGTCAACTTGACGGCGTCAAATATCCTTTTCCGATGAGTCAGCGTTTGGCCTAGCGTTCCTTCCTCAAGGCCACCTTAGTTATACTGCAGGACCACTAAATAACACAAAGCGCAGATAAGCAACACTCCAATTTCGACTGGTCACCGAATTGTGAAATGCCACATAGAATACATAATCGATGAACATAGAAGAACCATTGTCACGATAATCGTCGTCGGCGAATGGAGTACAGCTTATCACGAAGACCTCCGCGGTAGAAGCTCACTAATAACCTAAAGAGGGGCCACGTTAGGAGGCTCCCTTGTCCTCGGGTAGATGATTCTCGAAAATTTCCGTATTGTCACAGACACATGTAGTTGACTATGTGTGTCTATTCCCACTCTGAATAGAAACAAGATCGACTAGTCTTACAAACGATCGAGCTCTGCGAACAGCTTGATCGAAGTAAAATCCCGGCTTGAATTGCGTAACATTGTCACGAATCGATAAGCCAGAAAGGTGATATTGCTATCGAGCGCCCCTCCACTAGGAAGGGCTGCCCGAAAAGGCTTGTGTGAAACGCGTGGATAGAAGAGGACAATGGAGCATATGGTGCATCATCCGAGAATAAAAAAGGTTCTCGTTCTTGGACGACGCCATCATGGGCGCCGAAGTCGATGCTCGACGGTCGATCCTCGACCCGATGATGATGAATACCTCTCAAAAAAGTAATTGAGGCTCTCCAAGAGCCGCTCCAAGAGCGGCGCTCTTGGAGGATCCACACCAAGCCGTGATTACCTTGCTCGGTTTTGGCCAGTTCGTTCCCTATAACCAGACTAGGGGTCTGGGACTGCTTTCGGGCAAGCAGGTATATCCTTTCGAGACCTATTGCAAGGGTTGGGTATTCCACGGGGAGGGGAATGAACTGAGTCTTTATGGCGGAAGGTCCAGTGCTCTTCTCGTCTGAGCCAACTGGCTTCCCCTTTGACTTTCATGCTCCCCAGCTACGTCACATGTGCCACAATAATTGTGGCACAATTTCCAGGAGGGTTTAGGGATGTTGCCTGGCCAAGCATAGCAACCTAATGGCCTGGAAAACCATTGACCTGGCTGAGGAGGGCAATAAGGTGGAGGAGCAGAAGATGGCTACCGCCTTAGGTCGATGGTTATCAGAATGCAACAAGATACTTGCGGGCAAAGATACTTCAAAGATACTCCGGAGATTTTTTGCAGGTGGTGTGATTTCGCGCCTACGAGCCGTCAAACATGGTCTGACTTCCTTGCCAAGAGCGTATGCTATATGATCAGCTTGAAGGAGTCGAGCTGATTGGTCTGCGTGACAGGTGGGGCGTGATAAACTCCTGAGGGCCCTGTCGGCCTATCCCTATTTCAAGAATGAAGTCGCGGAAGCTCAAGTCAGAACCGCGTTTGGCTGTTTACGAAATTCTGATCACAATAAGGATGTAAAGTTCAATCAAAGGGCCTGTAATTTACTTCCCCAATATCTACTCAGATCAGCTCTGATCCTTGAAATGCGATGAAATGATCACCCTGAGGGTATTTTCGCATCTCGTTCGAGAATCGTTAGCTAAAGCTTGGAGAAAAAGGCCTCTAATCGGCCGAAATTGAGACCAATGTTGCCAAGATAAGCCATCACAGATGGCCAACCTCCGAAACATTCGGAAAAAAGGTATCAAGTTATGTACAACAGGAATGATGGGCCCATGGGGTGAAATAATAACGATTAATAAAGATGTTAACTTAACATCTTTATTAGTTCGTCTTAACATTGTTAAGATGAACTAGTAGCTGTGCTAGTAAAAAGTAGAAGAAAAAACTACAGCTCATATAGTTACAGGGCCAACGTCGTAGAGCTGCCAACGATGGTCCCAATGCTTCTTTAACTTCCAAACGCCGGCCCAAGCATGGAAATTGACACCCGAAAGGAAATGCCACTTATTATATGCGTGATCGACAGTGTTGGCCTTGATATCGAGGCTCACGGCGGCGTATGCCACTCTAGCACTCACAGAGGTACCAATAACACCGTATGCAGTGAGGTCGTCCTTGGGGGCAGCAGTGCAATTAATCTTGGCGTTGATGTCCCAGTTTATGACGTCACCAGCATAAGGTACGTGGACAATGAAGTGGACGGTGATTGCAATCTCTCCTTCGAACCCACCATCTACCCTCTTCTTAGCCGGCAATTTACCGGTCATGCATACGGATATCGCGAGGTGAACTCCGTCGGATTGACCGTACTGGAAGACCAGCGCGCATCCACCCGCATCGATGGTAAGACTCAATATGCTCCCCTCGTCCTTCTTCAGGGTAACGCCAATAGATAGATGGGCGTCTTTGGTAGCATCATGAATGTCTAGGATATTCACTTTGGCTCCCAGGGTTATAGATGGGTCTAAAGAAGCGTCCAGAGAGACAGAGATGCAGTACTTCTTCTCTTGCTTCCCACCAGCTGCGACACAACCCTTAGGGTACTCGAACTTGACAACTTCCGCCAGAGCACGGTGAGTTGTTGCATGGAAATACTTGTCGGCAGCTGAGCCCTTCTCGATGGTGAAGTAGCTGATACCCTTGAAGCCTTCAAAAGACCTCAGTCTACGTTTACTCATCCAATCAAGATCACGGTCCTCAGAGAAAAACTGACGGGTCTTCTCGGAAACGAATGGAGCATAAATCATGTCAACATCGACATGAGGGGCCTCCATATCATCTCCAGCGGTTAGACGACGATCACCATCAATTTGATAGTTGTCATACACAGTCTGCATGGCCCCAGCGACTGTTAGATCATCTTTGAGAGGCTCGATCTTATCAAAAACCGACTCTTGGAAAACCCGGGAGTTCGAGAAGGTGTTGACAGCAAAAAGCTTATTCGGTTTCTCGTTGTTCTTCTCAGTGTATAGGATCCAAGCATCAGGGGCAAGACCGGCTTGGTAAATAGCAGTATAGTTAGCGCCGGTAATAGGATCTATATCCCGGGGTGCGTACAGTATCCACTTATCCAACGAAGCATCATCGGACTTTTGAGGAACCCACCCTCCGTCGGCCAG